TATATAAATATATATTTTTTTTATATGTATATTATTATTTTTTTAAAGGTGTTATTTTTATTAGATTGGTCCAAATAATGATTCATAACTTGAAGAATTCTAAAAAATTTCTTCAAACATGTTAGGAAATATAAATTTTTGTTGAGTAATTCTGCAGAAGTAATTAATTCTATACATTTTTCTCTATTTATATATTTATTTTTTACGATTTACTTTTTTTATTATTTAAACTTATGAAAACCAAAAAATTATCTAAGCATAAATTACACAGTAACAAAGATATTTATCAAATTTAAAAAGCAAACAAAGGCATAATGCCAAACTATATTTTCATATAATATTAATTACAGAATTGGTATATTTTGACAGAAAAAAATGCATTGAAATTTTAGAATAATGCTACCATATTTTCTTTATTCTAATTAGGTGTTGAAAGATACTGCTGAGGAGAATAAACATTCAACATCAATTTGGGAATATTAAATAAACATGATTAAAATCATACCTAGAATTTTACTTTTCCATATTGAGTTAGTACTGTCAGAAGAAAAATGACCTGTTCGTATAGTAAAAATATTAAAAACAGTATACTAACTTTTAACTATACTTGAGCAATTATTTGTAATTAATTATAGCTTAATGAACTGGAAATTGTTAATTATAATTTTAGAGCAAAGAAAATTTTGACTCAAAATTTCTGAGTATGCCTGTATACATGACATAATGTCTAACTTGTAAATTGCGTGAATACAAATAGTATGAGATTCATAAATTTTGAAAATTCTTATACTTATGTTGTGTTACAGATATACGATTTTGTAAAATTAGCATACTAAAAACTTTGTTAAAATTTTGAAAAAAACTTATAAAACTTTAAACTTACTAAAATTTCACACCTATAGAAAGGTTTTATTTATAATGTTTGTAATGTTGCTGTACTTTATTATTACCAACCATTACCATATTGTTACCACTTGTATTTTTGATTTTGGGTCAGTTTTTTTTTTTTTTTTTNTTTTTTTTTTTTTTTTTTTTTTTTTTTTTTTTTTTTTTTTTTTTTTGGTAAAATTTTACATGTTGTGTTTTAGGATAAAAAGAGAATCCCATCAGAAATTAATTGAACAAGCTGTAGCTGAGAGACAGAGGGTACGAAAAACTTATTTCTCTTCATTTATTTATTTTTTAACTCGGATCCTTTTTTTTTTCAATTTTAGTTCTACAATTAACTATTTTAAAATTATTTTTGCTAATTTTTAGTTCAGCAGTTTACTTGACAAAAGAAAGAATGAACTAGAAAGGCAGCATATAGAAATCCGAAAGCAACTGGAAGATGAAAAGAACTCTGTATGTTTATTTAGTTATCTATATAAGCTTCACCTAAATTGTTAATTTAAGCTCCATTGTCTGTCTCCATTGTCTTAAGCTTAATTTAAATATGTAACATTTTAATTTTCTTATAAACTGGTATTCATTTATAGTATTTTTTTCCTTTATAGATAGTATAAACTAACCAGTGGAGAAACACTTAAGCGTAACTTGTTTTTTTAAAAAAAATCATAATAATTTCAAAATTTGTAATTTAGTAAAATGACAGTGTCAGCATATTTGTTATTAAATGCAAATTATGTAAAAAAAAAATTATAGGGAACTAACATAATATTGTTTTAAGTTTTTGGTGGTTCAAATAATAAGTAGTAAGATAGCCCAGTGAAGGAACAGTTTTTACCAGTGAATGAACACAAAATTTTCCAGCTAATGAACACTTAATTTTGTGAATTTTTAATGCTCTTTATGAATTTGTATAAGCCATACAAATGTCTACAAACAAGACTTTTCTTTGAATTTAAACATATAACCACAATTAACATGGAAAATGCTGAAAAAAATTTCCAGTCATAAAATGGAAAGTAAAGTGTGGTTGAATAAAAAAAAATGTTTTTCATTTTCTTTCTCATAATTTGATAGTCGATTCTGAATTACGAATGTTTACTTGATGATGATTTTTTTAAATTTATTATTATTATAATATCACTTTTTTGTTTACTCTTTTTCCTCTTATTTTTTGAAACTTTTCTTTCTTAAGTATTTTTTCTTTCTTTCTTCTCTCTCAACTTCTGTTCAGCTCTTTCAGTCTCTTTAAATGTTAGCCATTTTTCAAAAGTTAATGCAAAAGGTAATTTATTTCTTTTTCTGTTTATTTCTTTAACCTTTCTCTTTTTTCCCAATATTTGGCCAATGTAAATGGTTCTTCCAAATTTCTTCTGATTTTAAAGTGCCATTTCTCATTGGATAATAAACGGGGGAAAGAAGTTTCAAAAATTGAGAAAGATCCACATCTCCGTTGACTTATATCTAGTGGGTCCTCAGCAGTACTTACCTGTTTCTGACTTTGATTACTTGTTACTTGTTTGAATCATTTATTTTTGCAACTAAAAAAGCTACAAGAGGATCTATCTCAAAATAAATTTTCAGGATACATTTCTTATCAATGTTAGTTGTTTCAGCTTCAGTACCAAAGTTTGACTTAACCAAGTGTTCTTTTTACGATACATACTTCTACCATACTGAAAAAAGCACTGGCTATTGGATGTTTGGGAGATTTGATTCCTTGCGTTAAAAATTTACAACATATCTTGAGGAATTTCATTCTCAAGCTTTTGCATTCAAGCATTACTCTTGAAGTATGTTTTTTTTGTTGATAAGCTTTCTTACCCATTAACTCTTTGTGTCTTTTTAGCATGCATTTGTTTTTCAACATTTTCAACATCAAATGAAAAAATATCACATTTCTTAAAAGCATTTTAAATTCTAACTTCATCAATTGATGCCTCAAAAGCTTATTTAAAAATGGGTGAAAAATTCCCTCTATTGTCTTACAACTTTTTTGTTTCAAGATCTAGTGGAGGATTTCGATGAAGCTTTCAAAGCTTAAAATACACCTACATCACAAGGCTAGAGTACATTAGTAGCATTAGGTAGAAAGCTAAATAAGAGAATTTGCTTTTATAAACAAAAAACAGTTTCGAATATGAGTTTATACTCATCTAGTAGAAGCAAAATAGGGAATTTGATAACATTTTCAATTAGCCATAGATAAAGGCAATTTGCAATATATTCGTAAACTGCTGCTGCGACCATCAATTCTGAATCACTTTTTCCGATGAAATATTTAACAGGAACTGATTCTGCAATATCTCGAGGAATTCTTCGGTAAAGACAAACTACCATTGGAGGTACTTTTTTTTTCACTAGCTGAAGAGTTGGTGAAAACTGTTATTCATTCTTTTTCTTTCCCATGAACTATGGAATATAAAGCCTTATAATTTTTAGGACCGAACTCTTATTTTATTCAACTCTGCATTCAGCTCTTATTTTATCTGCAATGTAGATTCAATCACTTTCTAAAAGGATGTCAGAGCTATTTTCTACTTCAAAGCTTCTCTGAAGTTCTTTAAAGCACTCTCGAATATTAACCTCTGTAAGGAAAGCCTTGCTTTTTGAAATTATCTATGCATTGTTCTGAGTTATTAGTGGATGTCATCTTAAAGTAAGTTTTACACATTTTTCACCTGGACAATTGTCTTTAAATGGATTTTTCCAACCCGTTTCTGTCATAACGTTAAAAACTGTATTAGGATAATTATTGGCGCAAAAGCCAGCAAAGAAATGTTCTCCAAGTTTTTATTATTATTTTTATTTAGTTTTCGATTAACAAACATAGCATATTAAGTTGCCTAACCTATGATGTAACCAACCACCACATTTATTAAGATAAATTATAATTCTTTTCATAAATTTGACCATTAAATTAGCATTTTGGAAAGAAATTATTTTAATTCCTTAATTATTCATACAACTTTTAACAGAATTTTAGGTGCCCTCTATCACAGAATTACTAACTATCTCAGAGTAAGGTTAAATCATATTTCATACATACTGTTCATTCACCAGGAAATCTATTCCCATTGAACAAGCCTGTACCTTTACTGGTTAGAAAATGTTTTTTGTATTTTTAACAGAATTTTGATGTATAATATAACTAAAGGTACTTTAAAATTTTCATCTATTTTTTTTCTATTTTCATTAACATAGAAAAATCCCAGTACATGCTCGCTTGTTCATTCATTAGTTTTTCATTGTTTGGTAATCCAATTAATAAACACCTCCTAATTTCAGAATCTTCTTATGCTATAAAGCATAACTTCAATAAACATTAAGTGTAATTTTAAATTCTCTTTTTCACAGTGAGAAAAATAAAACTTTTACATAAAATTAATTACACTTAAAACACTGACCATATAATTTTGCCAAAGAAACTAGGTGTTAGAGATATCCTAACAAATTTTTCAGCGAAGACTATGTGACCAGGTAATCCAATGCATTGTTAGATGACTTCCTATTGTTAGGTATTAAGCTACTTATTGTTAGGTATTAAGCTTTACCAATCAATCTTACTAAAAAAAACTTTTAAAATCTTATTTTTAAAAGATATCTGTTGATGCGTTAGCGGAGTAGCACAGTATTGAGTGAAAGTGTTAACTCACATAAAGAAACTTGAAGATTTAAACATTTCTTTATTTCATACAGTACCATCTCGATACAGCGTACAACTGAAGATATTTAAACATAAATATATCTTAACAAAAATGTTGGTACGTCACCGGAAACAACAACACAGTGACGTGACATAGTGAAGAGACAAGACAAGAAGTCGACAAGAACACATGCTTACAACAATGCATGCTTTATATACAGATTCCATAATCATATGCACGGATGACGTCACTTACGTTATCTGAAAAGAAAATGTCTGTTGCCACCACACGACCGAAACTTAATTCTGTTAACTTAATGTATTCAGAGGAGTAACAAACCACTCCAACATACGGCCCCACGGTCGTGTGATCTATATCAGAGAAAAATATATTATTCACAACTTCTTTAAATTTATTACCCATTAATGGTTTTGTTAGGAAATCTGCTAAGTTATTCTTAGAATGAATAAAAGCTAATTCTACTAGATTTTCTTCAATAAGNGCAAGTTGTTGATTTGCATGAAAATTTTAAGTATTTTCTTTTGATTCAGGCTCACGAAAGATTGCAGCAAGATTTCCAAGACAAAGTTTCCAGACTATTAATACATACAGAAGAATGTTCTTCGGATTCCAGTCCTGCAATCGAGCCGATTGAAAGGACGACATTATGAAAATTCTTGAAAGGTTCATATCTTTTCTTTCTTGAATTTAGTGTGTGAAAAAGTCATGAGTGTATTATAATATATGTGAGTATGTTTATGAATTTTAAATTTTTTTTAAAATAATGCATGATTAATTTCTCTTGCTAAACAACATGTCTGAAAATTTGAAAAATCATTTTCATAAAAATGGCAAGAGATGGAAACATACATTGTGCTACAAGAATTTGCTGTCATTGTTTTAAAATTACTTGCAAAGCTGTAACAACGTTACTTTTGCACTTACAGGAGCGAAAATAGTTCTAATTAGAATGATAAATTTTAGTATGATTATTAACAATGTAGTGAGGGAGAGCCATGACGGCTCAGGGAATGGAGCGTTCGCCTTCCAATGGGGTGAACTGGGTTCGAATCCCAGCAATGGCTTGTTAATACGAATTCTGCATCTGGCTTGCACCGACCACAGTGTTGATGTGAAATATACTCAGTGGCAGACGGATCATGGGTTAAGAGTCCCCTTGCTGTCAGGCCAACCATGGGAGGTTTTGGTGGGTTTTCTCTCCATGTAGCTGTAATGCGGGTTCTTCCACAAAGGGTAATTTCTCCCAATACTGGAGCTCCCTTGTTTTCTGGATTGAGTTCAAAATTACAAGGTTACAGAGTTGAACATTAGTAGTCCTAAACCCAAATTTGGGTCAGCTGTTCAACGACCGTTATAAATAATAAAATAAAATAGTATTAACAGAGCTGTTGTGGCTCAGGTAATAACGTTCACCTCCCAATGAAGTGAACCAGATTCAAATCTCAGCGATGGCTGGTCGATATCCTCAGTGGTCGACGGATTATGGGGACTTTTAATTTACTGTTTAAAATATTTAAAAGTAGGGGTGGAAAAAAGTTCATTTAATTCTAATTTACACTGTCTTTGCTATCATACAAAAAATATTTTACATCACTACGTTGAGTACACAATGTCACTACATGTATTTTAAGTCATGAAATACCGTCAAACCTGGGTAATATAAAACACTTGGAGACCTAAGTTTTTAATCTTCTTTGTATTGGTAGTGTGTAAAAACTGTATTATTCTTGAAAATAACATAATACACAATACAAAAATTAAAGTATGAACGTTTTTATGCATAACCGTGTAACTTTTTTTTTTTTTTACAAATGTGCTCAAAAATTGCTTATGACTGATAGCAGAAAAAAATTAATTAGTGCATTTGTTGTTCTGGTAAGCATTCAGAATCTAAATTTAACTGAGTTTGAGAATTATAAGAATAATAAGCCAAAAACAAACCTAGTTCTCTAAATTATTGTTTACTTTATTTTTTTATGTTTGATTTTCTAGAAATATGCATAAAAATTTATCTAAATTTTTTGTATATTGAATGACAAAGCAAAATCGGTTTATAGTTAAGGAAAGACTTCTGATTTTCCATTAACTCAGTTCAAGAATTAAAAGAATAATATGACAAAAATAACTGTAGCATTTTAAACTCTCCTTTGATGCAAAACTATTAAATTGGTTTCTCTTCTTTGTTTTGACCTATATTTCCAAAAATTAAGTCAATCTGTGTATAAGTCGAAAAGTATGCTTTTTATTTGGAAATTCACCCAAAATTCAAAACTTTTATGTAAGTGGACGTAAAAAAATAAAATAAATAAGGTCTGCTACTCTTGGAAATAAAAATGCACCCCTCCCTCTTCTTGTAGTAATGGTAGATCTAGTAACAATTGCACAGTGGGTAAAAGAATCGTGGACCTTTTCGACATTGTAATTCAATCATTTAAGAAATGTTGCATCAATAACCATATATTTGGGAATGAAAACACAAGTGTAAATGAAAACATTCGAAGTGAGGATGATTAACTACATCCAATCTTCCGATGAATGAACTAAAATTTGCCGAACTTTATGGAGGATCTGATTCTAAAAAGGAATTAATTGGATTCTTAGTGTGTTCTTTTTCTTTTGTTTATGTATTCTCATTCACCTAAACAGATAATAATAAAAAATAATAGTATTCCTTTTTATGTGTTTCTTTTTTAATTGTTACATTTAGATATTCCATTTTTAACTATTATTTTATATATCTTTATGTTTTGTATGTACGTTTCGCGATATTTACTCAGTGTCGCTAATGCTTTCATGCTTAACAAAAAAAGAAGCATTTCTGATGACGGTGTCCTCTTGGAATTTTTCTAAGTTAGTGTATCCGACTTAACTTTTAAAAATTTGCTAATGATTCCCGTTTTATATTCGGAAATATACAGAGTATGAATATTAAAAAAATGGACTAAATAAACAGCATTTGTATTAACGATTCTATTTTGCAGGCAGTGGAGGTGCCAGTATTATTAAGTGAGAGAAGCTCCCTGCCTTGTGGTCTGCCTCAGTCTGATGAATTCCATCCGCCAATGCCAGGGGTCCTCTGGATTTGTGTGATTCTTGCCAACAGAATATATCTGTAACACAAAGCCAGGTGACCAGCACAACCACCGTTATGTAATATAATATATAATATACATATAAATTATACATAACATATGTACACATATTCTTGTCACAGTATTGGTGTTCTTCTCTTCAAAGGTTGTGGTTTTTATCAAGTTCCATTTTTTCTGATTATACTTGCATGACTTCTGCTGACGTCTAGGAGCAGACATAGCATCTGATGGTGAACGTTTTAAGTATTAATAGACTATTTTGATAGTATGGCAATCACATATATGTAGATTATTAAAAAATGTTATTTGCTACACTACCAACTGTAATGAATGCATTTCTTAACGTGGGAAATATGTAACATTGTAAAATAATTAACTTTGTTAAATTACTTGGAGGTTCCACCCCCAGCTCACAACTCTTGTGATTGCTTCTCATTCATTGTTAATAAAATTTATAATTTTCATGAATTAATATAAATTAAGCCGAAATTATACTTCTTAAAAATAAATTAATTTTATTAAAACAAGACAATATTTTCTAATTTGTTTATAAATTTCTTTTATTTTTAACAAAGATTTTTATAATAATTCTTTTAAGATGTTTTCTTTTTTTTTTCAGACTTGTCTATAAATAATCAATTGCACAAATTACTTATTTTATTTATGTTGATTGTTACTTACATTAACTTTTATTTGTGTTTGAAGCAAATTCAAATTATGTGAGAGGAAAATAAATTTATTGCACACCTAGATTTCATTACATGAATATTTAAATTGATACTATTGGTAACAATTTATTTTTGAACAATTTAGAACAAAGAAAGCATTTTATAAGTTGGTAGCTCTGCATTTATTGTGATATCTACAGTGGTTAGCTGTTTTATTGTCTTCAAGTCTGCAGATCATGCAAGTTGTTCAACATTTTAGATTGTTCCTTTATTGAAAAAAAAGTATTTATTAGATACTGTATTATTTTGTAGACTTATCTTTCATAAGGCTTTGTAATATAGATAAGACTTTAGATTGCCAAATGAAATAGATTTTTTTTCTACGTTTATGTTTTTATTGAAAGGGAAAAATTGTCTAGTAGTATTAGGGCATGTAGGCTTTTTAGTTATTTTGTTTCTATCTGATTCTATTTTTCTATATTTTAGGGAATTGATCATTCAAATTATTCTACACTGATGTGCAAAAATTAAAATATTTTCATAATCTCGACTTTTTGGTAGTCACTTGCTGTTAAATTTCTGGAAATATTTCAATTTACAACTTTTTGTGTATCTTGAAATATCATGATAAAAGCAATAAACATTTTATTTTAACCGGAAATAAGTTATAACATATATTTTATTCAATAAGGGAAACTCTTTATATTGAACTTTTTTGTAACTAACTGTGTGCCATAAATATTTCAGTGACTAACTTAGATAAATGTTAGCCATTGATTGATTTATTAGCTCAAAGAAATATTCATAAGAATAATAAGTATTCATAAGAAATATTCATAATAATTATTGAAACAATTATATGAATATGAAACAAGTTTTGGACTATCTAATTATATTTTATGTATGAAAAAATTTCCAACGCACTCAACACTTTAGATTGTGATCTTTTAAAGTATGTCAAATTTTCTGTTATTATCTTAAGGCAAGTGTTCTACTAATTGAGTCTAGATTAGAAACTTCTTTTAATATTGCCAAGTATGTTAGAAATCATGAATTATTTTTAAAATCAGTTATTTAAAGAACTAATCTTAAATTGTTGCACTTATGGATGTTAGTCCTCGAGAAGTTTGTAACTCAAGCATAGATAAAAAAAAAAGTGTACATACTAATTATATTTGAAGAATGATAGTTAGGAATTCTAGTTTTGTGTTTGTTAAAAAATAAATAAAATTGGTTGATCAATTAAATGAACAATATGAGAAAAGAATGTCATAGTCTATTGTATGTAAAATTATATTGAAAATTTATTATAAGAAATTTTTATTACACTTACCTTATTCTATATCAATCAGTAATTGAAACATATTTAAAGAAATAATCTAGTTGAGACATTCAAAAACAGGTTTTAGTCATCTTCTAATAAAAAACTATTACTAAATTTCATAGACATTAATGTCGTTTTTATATATAAATTAATTCCTCCCTTAAATTCATAAAAAAAATTAACTTAATTTCTAACCTTTTTGCTGATGAAACTAAACAAATAAAAATGAAACTGATCGCATTTAGTTATTTATTTATTCTACTATTATTTACTCTTTGATAACTTGTTCTTTTCAATATCCAAATAATAGTAATATACTTTTTGTGCATTTGATGACTAATATTATAATTAGTAAATAATTTTAAAAGATTTTGAAATTTTTAATTTTCTAAATGTGTAAAATTTTATACAGTGGTACCCCGATTTAATGATAACCATCTGACTAGTGTTAAAGATGCAGGAAGTGAATTAAACATATGTAAAGCCGGGGTAAAAATAGAATCCAAGTATATTTTTCCAAAATTGACATTTATGAGATGAACTGTTAAAAAAAGTTAAAATTTTTTATTGTTCTTTGATTTTAGGTATAATTTCAACAATATCCTTTTCAGCGATTGCTATAGTTTGCAAATTTGCTTTTTGGTAGACTTTAGCAAATGAATATTGTGTCAGAGTTTTTATTCTTTGAAACTCTCTTTTTTGGTTGTGTTTATATCCTCTGATACTTTTATTATCATCAGGACTAGGCATTAATTCAGATATTGAAGGAAATGAAAAGTAATGGAAAGCATGATATGCACGTCATCAATTTCTTCTGCCAAAAATTTTATTCTGAAAAACTGATGTTCCAGGTGAATTTGGAGAGGCTTGCTTTATTAAGCTGATTTGTAATATTTATAATATATATATTTGGAAATTGTAACTTTACATATAGGCAGTTTTCACAGACTAACAGAAAATGACACAGAAAGCGGGATGACGTACTAAACAGACACCTTAAAACCCGGGGTTCCACTGTACTTGATAGTCTAAAGTTACTTAGTTTTTCACACTTGATGGTTTAAATCCTGATTAACGAAAAAACAAACAAACATTTGTAACTGTCAAAAGCTATAAATTCCTCATTCTCATAATAATGTCTTACTTTTGCAATTTTTAAATTCATTTACTATCATTTCATAATTACACTTTCATTGAATGATTAAAATTATGTGTATTTCTAAAACTTAAATTTTAATTTTGAACAAAATACTATGAGATCCTTTTCTCTTTCATGTTGTTGTGCCAATTCAGAAATAGATTTTACTCAAGGTTGGCAATTTTATAACAGAAATATCTTTCTAAAGAATACTAATTTATTTTAAATAGAAGATTATAATATATCTGACTCTTTATAATAACTGTACTAAACAAGCAATAACCTTTATTACATGTTATAATTATGTTTATTGTTCATTTACAGTTTTAAATAACTATAGCGTTAGTCAACTATTTAAATATATTGAGCATTTTAAGATATTTTTACAAATTTAACAAATTATTCTATTTATTTTTAATATTGAAACAGCTTTATTACTGAACAAGGAAAGACATGAACAAATTTCATTAGCATAGAAATTTTTATGCCATAATTTAATTAATTAAAAAATCATTATGTCATTGATTGCTTTCTTTATTTAGTAAATTATTTCTTTTGTATAATTTGCTATGAATATGAAAATAATGCATTCATTAAAAATCTAAGTCATGTTCAATAACTAACTGCTAGTTTAATAAAGTAAAAAATTAATGTATGACACACAAATAAAATATTTAAAAAAAAGATAGGTCTTTTGGAACTGAGGGAGTTCCATCACCATTGTGAGCACATTTCCAGTGTTGGCCAATATTTTTTGCATTGGTTTGTTGCTTCCAGATTGATTCATTATCCAATCTGTGTCATCTGAGTTTTAGAGTTGAGCAAAATCAATCTTCTAAGCTGATATAGGTCATGATTTGAATTATTATTTTGTATATAAATATGTCTTATATTCACTTAGCAATATATAACCATTAATTTGCTTTCTTACCTTAATATGTATTTAATAAAAATATTTGTTGCAAATGCTTTTGCAATGAATGTATTAAGATTTCTACAGTTTCAGGAAATTTTTGAGTTTGAAATGAAATTTTCAATTTTATATTTGAAAAAAAAGTAGTTAAAGTGAAAGAAGCTTTAATTTATTTTGATTAAAATATTCTCGGGTTAAGAAAAAAAATATATATATATATTCATTTAATTGATTTATTGAAACAAGTGATTCAGATCTTGATTTCTATCAGTTTCAAGATGTTTTGAAGCAACGAATCAATTTGGTCATTCAAATTATCTTATCAGTACCCAACTATACTTGTTATTATACAGAAATGGCTGTATATCTCTTTTAATTATTTTATTTGTACTTAACAGTTAGTTTTCTGTTTTAATATTCTCAAGTGCTAACATAACTAACTACTCACTTGTGAGCAAATTCTAGTACTTCAAAATGCAATTTTCAAAGAACTGCTTGTTGATTGGAATTACGCTTGATTATAATGAATTAAAAATTTATCCTATCTCTTTCATTTATAGGTTTTTAAAGTTGATGCATGTACCTGTTATATTTAATTTGGAGTGAAAATTTTGTGTGTTTGTTTCAAAATATTTGTATCAGCTATACATTTCCTGTGATCGTTTGCAAAATATTGTTATTTGAAAGACTTGATTTGCCATAGCTGTTATGTTTTTGATATAATAGTTATTGCCTGGTGTTGCATTGAGCAATATTTGTATGATTTGTTAAGTTTGAGTGTTATTTGTCTGGTGTTATATTTTTTTTTTGGACTCGTTATTGGTTTACACATTTTATAGTTTTATCTTTATTGTCTATATCTGTTTATCTATTGCTACTTCAGAGCCTAATATATTCACTATGTAGAAAATGTGTTTAGTTTTAATGGTGCTATAGGATATTTATTTAAAAAAAGAGAGAGAATTGTCTTTAACCTTTTCAAAGTGTCAATGATATAAAATTTAATTTCATCTGATACCTTATGTCAATAACTTTTCTCTTATTTACTATTTTATTTTATATTTTTAACTACATATTACTTATATTATAACTATGATGTTATGGTTATGGAATGATAACAATTGATCAAATATTGGACTTTATACTTGTAGATTGATCACACTTAGTAAGTTATTTGAGCTTTTTATTGATGATTCAGTAAAATATTTTTTATTAAAGTCGTTCTCAGTTTGTTATGTAATTATGAAAGAATTAAACACTATTTTGCACATACACATTTGTTTATATAAGTGAATGTCTAAATTTTATATATATGTTTATAAATATGAACATTTAGCATTTTATGTATATGTGCTTATTGACTAACATAAATAATACATTTTCTTTTCAACAACTTTAGATTTATCCTTTTCTTTCCTTTTTTGTAAATTTTTTGGAATTTAAACATATCAATCCTTTTACTACTTTTTAAATATGCTTTTTTTGGTAAAT